GCACCGACTGAAGTGCGAAACCACGTATCTCCATTGCGGTGTTGCAAAATTTCCGTTCTTAATTCATCTCTTCCATGAGAAACAATCCAAATTCACGACTTTAAATTTCGAACCAAATTTTCTGTTATCGAATACGAAAAATCATTGAGAATTTAAGTTTTGTGTAGACCAGCTTCTCGAAAGAAAAATAAAATTCCTAAGGAAGTCTGCAACGTCGCAAATGGAGAATTGTCGTCTCTCATTTTGCCCAAAAATATGTATGTATAAAATTGAACGCATTATGACATTCCTCTCTCAACTTATATTCGTCTGTAACGATAAACAATGGGACGCGTTTGCTACGGCGCCTTGATACAACTATACAATCTCGACGGATGTCCGTATTGCGTTAAAAAAATTGAAGGCGTTTAGACTTCCTACGCAGAATACCTTCCCTGGTAGCACAGCTCGGATCGGTAAGGTTTTAGAAACATTCCACTTGTGTCGAAACTGATTCATCTCGATGAAACATATTAGAAACATTTCAGAAATGTTTCAATGACGCAAATACTTTGAACATTTCATTGAAACATATCCAAAACATTTTGAAAATGTTTTCAAATTGGATACATTTAACACAACAGAAATGTTTTGAAAACCAATCCAAAACATTTTACAAAAGAAAACTTTGGAGGGGAAATGAAATGATTTAAAAACATTTTGAAGACAAAGTTGCGAGTCATGTAAAATATTTCATCAGAGACAACATGTTTTGAACACAGTTTAAAAATATTTTCATTTCATCTTACAGAAACGTGAAAGCAATGTTTTTAAAATGTGTTCAAAATGTTTTCAAATTGTTCTACTATCACTTTTTAAAAACGTTTTCAACACATCTCCAACATGTTCTCAGATACTTCTAATTTCGAAGTGTTTGGTGAAATGTTTTGGAAATATTCTGAAAATGTTTCGAATGAATCTACAGCTTGTTTCAAGCAACTTCTCAAAGTGCTGTCAGATACTTTTCCTGCACGACTCAACAACACCTCCCAGCAACCTATCTGACACATTTTAGATATGTTTTCAATTATTAATAAATATTATTGATTGGTGCGGTATATCTCCAACTCATTTTCAAAACGTTTTAATTCTCTTTCCGATCAGCATCCTCAATTCATTTCAAAACGTTTTGAATATAAATCGAACCAGTGTCGCTGAAGTTTTAGAAAAATGTTTTCAACACATCTCCAACACGTTCTCAGAAACTTCCAATTTCGAAGTGTTTGGTGAAATGTTTTCGAAATATTTTGAAAATGTTTCGAATGAATCTACAGCTTGTTTCAAGCAACTTCTCAAAGTGCTGTCAGATACTTTTCCTGCATGACTCAACAACACCTCCCAGCAACCTATCTGACACATTTTGGATTGGTTTTCAATTAAAAATAAATATAATGTCTTTGAAACCTTTTTGAATATTTTGTTCGAATTTATACGTCACTTAAAATGTTTTTGACACGTTTTAGAAATGTTTAATTGAATAACATAGAAACATTTCTAGGACCTTTCTAAAACTTTTCCTACCTAGTTCAAACTGAATCCACCAGAGGGCGTTGAAGTTTAATTTTTCAATTTTACCAAATTTCAGCTTAATTTTTCGTCTCAAGCTATACTTTTTGGACATTTAATTATGTGGAGGTTATTAACACGGTTAATTCCTTGTATGAATCGAGTTCATCTCCATAAAAGCTCAAAAGTTATGGATTATCTAGAATATTGAAACCGTACATCGCGCTTTGCGTATACTTCTCTAAAGTGAAGGTGTTCTAATCCCTCTGATAGGTTGATAATGATGAAGTGTAACGATTCAGCCCTCATGCAGGGTTGGTATCAAGGGATGTCTGCTGTGATGGTTCTAATTCCACAGCGACATTAATTAAAACAAATGTCTGAAAATTTTTGATACTTATAGCCTCGATGCCGATTCCTCACTGAGGTGTGTTGAAAAGGTATGAGAGACATCTATCGGACGTATCTGTGAAACGAAATTTAGGGGTGACATAGAGTTGTTTTAGAAACCTTCTCAAAACCGTCGGGACACATGATATGTTTTCAAGATGTTTCAACAAACCACTGAATGGTTTTGAAAACATTTTTGAAACGTTTCGACGATACAAAGGAATGTCATGCCTCTCACCGAAATGTTTCAAGAATGTGTCAGATATATTTCTGCGACGAATTTGTGGTGCCGATACCTACTGAGATGTGTTGTAAAGGTATGAGAAACATCTATCGGACGCATCTGTGAAACAAAATTTAGGGGTGACATAGAGTTGTTTTAGAAACCTTTTCAAAACCGTCTGGACACATGATATGTTTTCAAGATGTTTCATTGAAATGTTTTAAAGAAATTTTTTCGGATCAATGACACATTTTAAAAACATCTTCAATCTGACCTGTGCTACCAGGGTTAAGTTTATTCGATCGACAAACGCGTTGGTCGGCGGTGACGGGGACTTGATGCAACTTTCCAAACTTGATTGCTGTCAATATCGCACCGACTGAATTGCGAAACCACGTATCTCCATTGCGGTGTTGCAAAATTCCCGTTCTTAATTCATCTCTTCCATGAGAAACAATCCAAATTTACGACTTTTAATTTTGAACAAAATCTGCTGCTGTCGAATGCGAAAAATCATGAAGAATTTAAGTTTTATATTGACCAGCTTCTCGAAAGAAAAATAAAAATCCTATAAGGAACTCTGCAACGTCGCAAATGGAAAACTGTCGTCTCTCATTTTCCCCAAAAATATGTATGTATCAAACTGAAGGCATTTTGACTTTCTTCTCACAACTTAAAGACGTATTTTGTTTGGCGTAACAATCGAAACTGTTTCGCATCATTGTGTAACATTCGTATTTTGTTTGAGTGTTACCGGAAATGAGGGAGCGTGGCTTATTTAATTGGATTTTTTTTTGCACAACATGGCAACGCTGTCGTAACATTTTGATGCGAAACACTTGGAACGTGCTCCGGAGCAGGTTGCAGAATTGTTACGAGGTTTCTAACCTCACTTCTAGCTGCTTTGCTCTCATTGGTTGTGAAAAAGTGACGCAAATAACACAAAATCGGTAGCAGGAAACAATTGTTGCGGCAAACAAAATACGTCTATATATTCGTCTGTAACGATAAACAATGGGACAGGTTTGCTACGGCGCCTTGATACAACTATACAATCTCGACGGATGTCCGTCTTGCGTTCAAAAAATTGAAGGCGTTTTGACTTCCTACGCAGAGTAATTGAAGTTTATTCGATCGAAAAACGCGTTGGTCGGCGGTGACGGGGACTTGATGCAACTTTTCAAACTTGATGGCTGTCCGTATCTCACCGACTGAAGTGCAAAACCACGTATCTCCATTGCGGTGTTGCAGAATTTCCGTTCTTAATTCATCTCTTCCATGAGAAACAATCCAAATTTACGACTTTAAAGAGCGACGCCAAGAATGGCACAAGTTGGGCTAACGGGGATTTTTCTGAAACCGGGCCCAAACGATACCTTATGATACCCTAAAACTCTGGTGAAAAGTTTAGCTTGAGTATAGGCACGATTTTTGAGAAATGAGGGGGCAAAGTTGCCAAATCGCCATCATCCTGGACAGCATTTCTACAGCAAAAAGACGGGAAAAATGGACGAAAAAGTTACACCTTTGATGGGTTCCGGCTGTAAATGTTCTTTTTTGGCCCCCAAACATTTCACTGTGTTCAGTCGTTTCAAAAATTTTGGTCGCACAGTGGTCCAAAATGGGGAGAAATCGTCGACAAATCAGGATTCTTTGTCAAATTTTTAGAATTGGAAGTAAAATGTCGGTCTGCTGCAGTTTTCATGGCTAACAATGTTCTTATCGGTTCTCAATGCATGTAATTGTGTTCAGTTTCACAAATTTACATCGCACAGTGGTCAAAAATGGGGGAATTAGTGGACAAATTAAGATCCTCTGTCAAACTTTTTAAAAATGAAGCGAAACTGTTGGTCCCCAGTAGACTTAAGTTCCCGAAAAAATTCTTTAAATTCTTGTTTTGACTATTTAAATATTTTTTTAATTTTTTCTCTCCATTTTTTCTTTTTTTTTAAGTTTCTGGAAGATTGCATATTTTATTGAGATAATGCTACAAAGTCTATTCTATAACAACGTTCTATAAACAATACGGTCTGACATGTAGTAATAATTTAAAAAATTAAAAATATGAATTTTTCCGGTATCTAAACTCTACTACGGACCAACAGTTTCACTTCATTTTTAAGAAGTTTGACAGAGGATCTTAACTTGTCCACTAATTCCCCCATTTTTGACCACTGTGCGATGTAAATTTGTGAAACTGAACACAATTACATGCATTGAGAACCGATAAGAACATTGTTAGCCATGAAAACTGCAGCAGACCGACATTTTACTTCCAATTCTAAAAATTTGACAAAGAATTCTGATTTGTCGACGATTTCTCCCCATTTTGGACCACTGTGCGACCAAAATTTTTGAAACGACTGAACACAGTGAAATGTTTGGGGGCCAAAAAAGAACATTTACAGCCGGAACCCATCAAAGGTGTAACTTTTTCGTCCATTTTTCCCGTCTTTTTGCTGTAGAAATGCTGTCCAGGATGATGGCGATTTGGCAACTTTGCCCCCTCATTTCTCAAAAACCGTGCCTATACTCGAGCTAAACTTTTCACCAGAGTTTTAGGGTATCATAAGGTATCGTTTGGGCCCGGTTTCAGAAAAATCCCCGCTGGCCCAAATTGTGCCAAAAAAACGGTCGTTTTTGGCGTCGCTCTTTGCTCCCGTCGTCAATATCATCCTTCAATTGATACTTTTTTTAGGACGCGTGCTCTCAAAACAGTATATCTACAAAATAATTACCATGGAATAATAATCATTTCTTTAAGGTGCCACCCCCATTCCTTTAAGCTTCATTATTTACTCAAGACATTATAATTATTGTTACATTTATATTCGGTACCTACTTTTCTTTATCAGGACTCGGCGGGCCTTTGTAACGGTAGACCACATCAATTTTACATCGCCACAAATTTATAAAATCTGCACAATTATTTACTGGACTAGGATTCTTTTTAGTTTCCTGGACCTGCAAAAAATATTAGAGAGGAGAAAACAGAAAGTGAGAACCCAATTTAAAAATGGGCAGTCCGTGACGGAGAAAAGACCATTAATCTTGCAGGTATACTCAATGACCAGTGAAAATTAAGTACCTATAAGGAATCTAGCCCATCGACGGTGAAACTACCGAACCACGTATCTCGGTTTTCGACGTCGCAGACTTCCTGTCATACTTTATTTTTTAAATGAAAAACTACTTAACGTCCAGTCTTGAAAATTTCTGTAATTTTTCCTCTTTGTGTCGAGAAAATTCTGTGAAAATTTCAAGGAATGATATTGATTTGGTCTACTTCAAAAAAATAAAATGTGAGCGTAGATTTTTAAACACCGCAAACGAGATACGTGGTTTGGTAGTTTCACCGTCGCCATATAAGTTTTCCTATGGAAAACAAGATGATGAAAGGGGATACTGGGTTCATCAATGCATGGCCAATATCCGAAACCATATTCTCCATATATTGCGATGTTTCAAAATTTGCTCTCCTATTTTATTTTTTCAAAGAAAAACAAATCAACTTTATGGTTTGAAATTTATATAGAACATGCTGCTAATGGAGGAGAAAAATCATTGAAATTTTCAAAAAATTACGTCACTGACTAGTTTTCCAAAGAAAAAACAAGCAGTGAACTCCAACACAATGTGTTGATAAGGCGCGTCATTAACTCGCACATATCAACCCCTTTAGTTTTCATTTACAGAGATTTCAAAATAGGCAAACAGCATAAAAAGAGAATTCACGATCCAACACTGCGAGGTCAAAGACGCACCTTGACGAGACCGTGTATTGTGAAAGTAGAAAGCTATTCGATCGAATTTAAGTTTTTTGATCTGCCTCAAGCAAAATCTTATCAGATTCTTGAAGAAAATTGCTACGGAATAATTTAAGCGAAGAAAGGAAAAATTCTGTCGAACTCTTAGAAGATAAAGTCGATTTAAAGGTATTTTGGGGCTAAAATACCCAAATCACCGGTAGTAAAAATCCCGTTATATTATTGAAAAGAAATTGACTCGATATAAATGCAATTGCATTAAATACGTCTTGATTTTGTTATTTTAAACGTCTTTCCATGCAAAGAAGTTCAACCATGTCGTTGCTTTATTCATTCATGAATTGAAAGTAAGCAATCTACATCCCGAAAATCTACTGATTTGCCGTAAAAAATTGCAGAAACTTGATATACCAGGTCGATGCACCCACTCGTTGAATTTACCAACCAATTTTGTGAGTGCAAATGTGTAAGAATCAATATGCTATAGTCATTTTGGGTGCATTTATTTTTCATGAAACAATAATAATTTCAATCCC